TCCATGAATCCATGAATCCATGAGCCCATGAGTACATCAATCCATGAGTCCATGAATAAATGAATCCATGAGTCCATGAGTCCATGAATAAATGAATCCATGAGTCCATGAGTACATGAATCCATCAGTCCATGAATCCATGAGCCCATGAGTCCATGAGTCCATGAATAAATGAATCCATGAGTCCATGAGTCCATAAATACATGAGTCCATGAGTCCATGAGTCCATGAGTACATGAATACATGAGTCCATGAGTCCATGAGTCCATGAGTCCATGAATCCATGAGCCCATGAGTCCATGAGTCCATGAATAAATGAATCCATGAGTCCATGAGTCCATGAATACATGAGTCCATGAGTCCATGAGTCCATGAGTACATGAATACATGAGTCCATGAGTCCATGAGTCCATGAGTCCATGAATACATGAATCCATGAGTCCATGAATCCATGAATACATGAATCCATGAGTCCATGAGTCCATGAGTCCATGAGTCCATGAGTCCATGAATCCATGAATCCATGAATCCATGAGTCCATGAGTCCATGAATCCATGAGTCCATGAGTCCATGAATAAATGAATCCATGAATCCATGAGTCCATGAGTCCATGAGTCCATGAATACATGAATCCATGAATACATGAATCCATGAGTCCATGAGTCCATGAGTCCATGAGTCCATGAATCCATGAATCCATGAATCCATGAGTCCATGAGCCCATGAGTCCATGAGTCCATGAATACATGAATCCATGAGTCCATGAGTCCATGAATCCATGAATCCATGAGCCCATGAGTCCATGAGTCCATGAGTCCATGAGTCCATGAGTCCATGAGCCCATGAGCCCATGAGTCCATAAGTCCATGAATAAATGAATCCATGAATAAATGAGTCCATGAGTCCATGAGTCCATGAGTCCATGAGTCCATGAGTCCATGAATCCATGAATCCATGAGCCCATGAGTACATGAGTCCATGAGTCCATGAATACATGAATCCATGAGTCCATGAGTCCATGAGTCCATGAGTACATGAATCCATCAGTCCATGAATCCATGAGTCCATGAGTCCATGAGTCCATGAATACATGAATCCATGAGTCCATGAGTCCATGAATACATGAGTCCATGAGTCCATGAGTCCATGAGTCCATGAATACATGAGTCCATGAGTCCATGAGTCCATGAGTCCATGAGTCCATGAGTCCATGAGTCCATGAATACATGAGTCCATGAGTCCATGAGTCCATGAGTCCATGAATACATGAGTCCATGAGTCCATGAGTCCATGAGTCCATGAGTCCATGAGTCCATGAGTCCATGAATACATGAATCCATAAGCCCATGAATCCATGAGCCCATGAGTCCATGAGTCCATGAGTCCATGAATCCATGAATAAATGAATCCATGAGTCCATAAGCCCATGAATCCATGAGTCCGTGAGTCCATGAATACATGAGTCCATGAGTCCATGAGTCCATGAATACATGAATCCATGAGCCCATGAGTCCATGAGTCCATGAGTCCATGAGTCCATGAATCCATGAATAAATGAATCCATGAGTCCATAAGCCCATGAATCCATGAGTCCATGAGTCCATGAATAAATGAATCCATGAGTCCATGAGTCCATGAATACATGAGTCCATGAGTCCATGAGTCCATGAATCCATGAATCCATGAGCCCATGAGTACATCAATCCATGAGTCCATGAATAAATGAATCCATGAGTCCATGAGTCCATGAATAAATGAATCCATGAGTCCATGAGTACATGAATCCATCAGTCCATGAATCCATGAGCCCATGAGTCCATGAGTCCATGAATAAATGAATCCATGAGTCCATGAGTCCATGAATACATGAGTCCATGAGTCCATGAGTCCATGAGTACATGAATACATGAGTCCATGAGTCCATGAGTCCATGAGTCCATGAATACATGAGTCCATGAGTCCATGAGTCCATGAATACATGAATCCATGAGTCCATGAGTCCATGAATACATGAGTCCATGAGTCCATGAATCCATGAATACATGAATCCATGAGTCCATGAGTCCATGAATCCATGAGTCCATGAGTCCATGAGTCCATGAGTCCATGAATCCATGAGTCCATGAGTCCATGAATCCATGAGTCCATGAGTCCATGAGTCCATGAGTCCATGAATACATGAGTCCATGAGTCCATGAGTCCATGAGTCCATGAATCCATGAGCCCATGAGTCCATGAGTCCATGAATACATGAATCCATGAGTCCATGAGTCCATGAATACATGAGTCCATGAGTCCATGAGTCCATGAGTACATGAATACATGAGTCCATGAGTCCATGAGTCCATGAGTCCATGAATACATGAATCCATGAGTCCATGAATCCATGAATAAATGAATCCATGAGTCCATGAGCCCATGAGTCCATGAGTCCATGAGTCCATGAATCCATGAATAAATGAATCCATGAGTCCATAAGCCCATGAATCCATGAGTCCGTGAGTCCATGAATACATGAATCCATAAGCCCATGAATCCATGAGTCCGTGAGTCCATGAATACATGAATCCATAAGCCCATGAATCCATGAGCCCATGAGTCCATGAGTCCATGAGTCCATGAATCCATGAATAAATGAATCCATGAGTCCATAAGCCCATGAATCCATGAGTCCGTGAGTCCATGAATCCATGAGTCCATGAGTCCATGAATACATGAGTCCATGAGTCCATAAGCCCATGAAACCATGAGTCCATGAGTCCATGAGTCCATGAATCCATGAGTCCATGAATACATGAGTCC